GTGCAGAGACCTCGGGAGTCGGTGGAGATGGTCGTCCAATTTCTGGGGTCGACAATCAGAGCTGCCACCCAATGCTCATAGCACCAGTCCCTCTCTGATCTGGTGGTGGGTCCGCTGTAAGATGGCTGCTGCTCTGTCAGTGGTGACACAGCCTTGGTCTTTCAGCGGGGGCTTCAGGCAATGCTGGGTTTTGTGTCTTGCCCAGGGACAAAACACCGGCACGGTGGCTGAGTGGGTAGCACTCTCGCCTCTCAGCAAGAAGGTCCTGGGTTCGAATCCCGGCCGGACCAGGGCCTTTCTGAGTGGAGTTTGCATGTTCTCCCCGTGTCTGCGTAGGTTTTCTCCGGGTACTCCGGTTTCCCCTACCACTAAAAATATGTACAATAGGTATGGCATGTGCCTCCTGTACTGGCAACCCCGCTCCCATCTCTGTGTGGAGTGAGAGGACAAGTGCCCAAAAAATAATAACAATTGTAAACCGCTTTGTGACTCTGGTCTGTGAAAGGCGGTATATAAATAAAGCTTACTTACTTATTGACTTAACAGTAGCAGGCGTTAGTGGGAGTGAAGAAAATGACAATCGTCTGGGATCGTGTCTTTCATTCAGACAGAAGACATGGTTCATTGTCGATGGTAGAGACAGCACAACCAAAGATGTTTCAGATTCATTGTGATATAATTCAGGAATAATTATATCACTATATAATTTTAGCATTTTTTAGAGTTTGACTTTTACCAGTATCATGAAATATCTAAAGGAGCATATATAGTATAGTAGTATACAGTTCTAGTAATCTAAATGAAGATTATTTACATATTTTTCTCAGGCTTGGCAACAATTAAATGCCTTGTGATAATTTAAGATATTAGTTTTTTCGTCTTTTTAGGCCCTTTAAGTGTCTATATAAATAGATAAACTTGCCAAAAAGAGAGATCTATGAATCCTCTTGGCTGTGACCACAACAGACCAGCGACAGAAACCTCAGGGGAAACAGGTGTTATGTGACTCCAATGTTCCGGCTCCAGTCAATTCAATTACATTTATTTTTGTATTGCTACATCACAAAGTTATCTCGGAGGACTTTACGAAGCTGTCGATTTGCCAACACAGAACAGAACTGCAAAAAAATAGTAAAATGTAATAAACCTCATAAAAAATCCAGGATAAAACAAGAATCCAAAATCTAATCACAAGAAAGAAAGAAGAAACAGGCTTTAATCACACACAGAGACACACATCAGAGCTGAGCAGGCTATCAACAGAACAGGAGAACAAATGATACAAAATAAAACAGGAGCTAAGAATGACACCCGTGAGAATAGGAGATTAAAGAGGCAGATGACCATAAATGTGCTTGGATGTCTCATGTCCTGGATCCCCACTGTCCTTAGACCGTCCCACATCTGTAATTTAGATTCTATTTCCCGTGTCGAGCTGAGGCTGAGGCTGAGGTCTGAGGTGTTGGTCCCTGAAGAAGATGCGTGCCATCTGATGAAGCCAGAGACCGGAGCAATCACAGAGCAGCTGGCCTTGGGCGTGACCCTGGTTATACAGCCGTCGCAGACCAGAGGAGCTGTGTCATCGATCAGAACGAAGAAGACCATCGGGGGAATCCACCGGGTCCTCGTTAGTGAGTGGTATGTGCAGCTGGAGCGATGTTATTTTTGTGAAGGTAGAAATATAAATAGATTTAGTGTCATGAAGCTAAAGCGGAGATTCAGATTCACTGGTAGACAGGAGAACTAAGCTCACAGCGCTCAAAGTCCTCGCACTGTTGCTCACGGCAACAGCATCAGTTTGTTGAAGAATGATTTTTATGCAAAGTGCAGACCTGTAAAGGAAATCAAGTAAATGTCCAACATGTAGATATACTGACCTTTTGCTGTTTGTTTGTCTGCCCTCTTTAAGTGTTCCGGCCAAAAGAGTCCCAAGGGAGCTGGAGCACCTAAAGAGGGTTCCGGGTGAATCCACTCTGCAGAGAGAGGAGGGGTGTCCTGGGTTTTATCTTTACAATTTAGTAACATTTTAGAATGAATAAATCACTGCTAAAATTAGTAAAGAGATATGGTTATGTAATTTGTGGAGTATAGAATCACTGCTTTAATTATTGCTGTATCTTTTTGTATTTTGTTTATATTGAGCTGCAGTTGGTGTTGTCCAGTCACTGTCACCTGCTATAAAAGCAGGCCACCAACTCTGAGCAAGGGGGAGTGCTGGTTGACAGGCTGTGCTGATTTTAACACCAAAATGTAAATCATGTAAATAAACCTACACCTGGGTCTGCTGGAAGCTGCCTCCGTTCAACTTTGTTCCTCTAACATCCTCATAAGTGCCATCCTGACATGACAAGTGTCACAAAGCTCCATCCAAGCAGCAGCTTCACTCATGCCGCAACCCTACTCCTCCCCGTCTCCGCCTCATTCCAGGTCATTTCATAATCTTTTTTTCTCTCTGCGATTGTGCAGTGCTCTGTCGAGGTCTAAGCGCCAAATCCTACCTCAGTGTCAAATGTGTAATGTGTGTAGTGTCAGTTTGCTCGCCAGCCAACAATTATAATAATAGTAAGTAATCTGTATTTACTGTATATAGTGCAAGACATGAAGCACTTTACAACTGTTTTGGGCATTTGTGTCTCACTCCACACAGAGATGGGAGCGAGGTCGTCATACAGGAGGTGCATGCCAGACTTATTTTACATGTTTCTAGAGGTAGGGGAAACCGGAGCACCTGGAGGAAACCTATGCATACACAAGGAAAATATGCAAACTCCACTCAAAAGTTTGTATGTTGATGATACTATATTTTGTCTGTTTGAGTCTTCTCAGATCCAAATAGTTTATGTAAAGAATGTCATCAAACACACATAAAGACAGTATTTAGATGGACAATGCAGCTCAATAGGGAAGTGCTCACGGATGAAGTTTTGCTCCATCTCTTTCAGGCTCCTCTGCAATACTTGTAAGATAAGATAAGATAAGATAAGATAAGAATTCCTTTATTCGTCCCACAGTGGGGAAATTTCGATGTTGCAGCGCACGTATAGGACAGTAGTAAGAGCACACAGGGATCACACACAATATATTCACTATATACAAATAAGTAGCAGCTATGTTTCTTAGCTAACATAACTAGCTGTAGACGCTGAAAATGCTTCAATACCAGTCAAAAAATATATATGTAGTAGTGCAGTTATATACTGTACAGTTAAATAGTGCAGGATAAAAAGTATATAAGTAAAGTGACATGAGGTAAAGTGACATTGTTCTGTGACATTCTGAAGTTGCAGTATTGCACATTGCACATGATTTAAGAATTTACTTAATTACAGATGAATGAAATTTACAGGCTCAGCAGTTCTTATTGTACAGTCTGACAGCAGCAGGAAGGAAAGACCTACGGAACCTCTCCTTCACACAGCGAGGGTGAATTAGTCTGTCACTGAAACTGCTCTCCAGAGCAGAGAGAGTGTCCTGCAGGGGGCGAGTCATGATCCAGCATAGATGTTAGTTTGCTTAGGACCCTCCTGTCCCCCACCTGCTGCACTGTGTCCAGGGAACAGCCCAGGACTGAGCTGGACTTCCTGATGACCTTGTCCAGCTTCTTCCTCTCTGTGATGCTGCTGTTCTAGCAGACCACACCGTACAAGATGGCTGATGCCACCACAGAGTCATAGAAGGTCATTAGGAGTGGCCCCCTGCACTCCAAAAGACCTAAGTCTCCTCAGCAGGTAGAGTCGACTCTGGCCCTTCTTAAAGAGAGCATCTGTGTTATGAGTCCAGTCCAGTTTGTGGTTCAGATGAACACCCAGGTACTTGTAAGAGTCCACTCTCTCGATGTCCTTTCCCTGGATGTTCACTGGAGCTGGAGCGGCAGAATGACGTCTGCGGAAATCCACCACCATCTCCTTGGTCTTCCCCGCGTTAATGAGGAGGTGGTTCCGCTGACACCAGTCCACAAAGTCCTGTATAACTCCTCTGTACTCTGTGTCATCGGCCTCGGAGCTGAGTCCGATGATGGCGGAGTCGTCGGAGAACTTCTGTAGAACACAACCGTCTGTGTTGTGTCTGAAGTCCGCAGTGTAGAGGGTGAAGAGGAACGGCGCGAGGACAGTTCCCTGGGGGGCCCCCACACTGCAGGTCAGGACCTCCGACACAAAGTCCCTGGTTCTCACAAACTGGGGTCTGTCTGTGAGGTAGTCCAGGATCCACTGGGACAGGTCGTAGTCCACACCGGCTGTCTCCATCTTGTCCCTGAGAAGCCTCGGCTGGATGGTGTTGAAGGCACTGGAGAAATCAAAGAAGAGGATCCTCACAGTGGAGCCGGGTTTCTCAAGGTGGGACAGGGAGCGATGGAGGAGGGAGATGATGGCGTCCTCGACTCCGATGCCCGGCCTGTAGGCGAACTGCAGCGGGTCCATCGCTGGGCTCAGAGTGGAGCGGAGGTGTCCCAGGACCAGTCTCTCCAGTGTCTTCATGCAGTGGGATGTTAGAGCCACTGGCCTGAAGTCGCTGAGGTCTTTGGCCCGTGGTTTCTTGGGCACCGGTACCACACAGGAGGTACCGCCCTCAGCTTGAGGCTCAGGTTGAAGACGCGCTCCATCACTCCACAGAGTTTGTCTGCACAGGAGCGAAGGAGCCTGGAGCTGATGTTATCTGGTCCTGGTGCCTTTCTGGTCTTTATCCTCCTCATCTCTGTCCTCACCTGAGCAGCGGTGACTGACAGGGGGTGCAGGGGGGCTGGGTGGAGTGGGTGCTGAGTAGGGAGGATGGGGGCTCCTATTCTACTATTTTTCCACTGAGATCTCACCATTGAATACTATTTTTAACAGTTATTCTGACTCAGCCTTGAGTTCCCAACACAATGAACATATGTAATGTACTTGGCTCAGTGCAGAGAATCCTTTATTTTCAACTTGTTCCAATTTGAAATCTTCTCCCTCTCACTCACAGCTTCAATCACTTATTCAAAACAACCTTAAACCACTCAAACCAAACACACAATGGAGGAGACAGGAGAAAGGACAGAGGACAGAGGAGACAGGAGAGAGGAGAGAGAAGAGAGGACAGAGGAGACAGGAGAGAGGAGACAGGAGACAGGAGAGAGGACAGAGGAGACAGGAGAAAGGACAGAGGAGACAGGAGAGAGGAGACAGGAGAGAGGACAGAGGAGACAGGAGAGAGGACAGAGGAGACAGGAGAGAGGAGACAGGAGACAGGACAGAGGAGACAGGAGAGAGGAGAGGAGACAGGAGAGAGGACAGAGGAGAGAGGAGACAGGAGAAAGGACAGAGGAGACAGGAGAGAGGAGAGAGGAGACAGGAGAGAGGACAGAGGAGACAGGAGAAAGGACAGAGGAGAGAGGACAGATGAGAGAGGACAGAGGAGAGAGGACAGAGGAGAGAGGAGAGAGGACAGATGAGAGATGAGAGAGGAGAGAGGAGACAGGAGAGAGGACCGAGGAGACAGGAGAGAGGACAAATGAGAGAGGACAGAGGAGAGATGAGAGAGGAGACAGGAGACAGGAGAGAGGAGACAGGAGAGAGGAGAGAGGACAGAGGAGACAGGAGAGAGGAGACAGGCGAGAGGACAGAGGAGACAGGAGAGAGGACAGATGAGAGAGGACAGAGGACAGATGAGACAGGAGAAAGGAGACAGGAGAGGATAGTGGAAAGAGGAGAGAAGAGAGAGAAGACAGGAAAAACACAGAAGAGCAGAGAGTGGAGCGAGAGGACAGAGGAGAGAGGTGCAGCTCAGACACATGTTCTGCATCTGAGGGAGCGATGGTGAGGGAGGGAGGCAGTCACAAATGTACATAGACACACAAGGGGGACATTTAAGCTGACCGGCACAACACATATAACTCTTAATTACATAATATATCCTGAAAAGACTATATTTTTGCCTCCAAAGACACGTCTGTCTTTTGCACAATCTGAGTGATTCTATCCATGCCAAAGTGACATGTAAATTTCTCCTGTGTGTTATATCAGGAGCAACAAGACAAGTTTATTTAAAAAAAATCAAATAGCTACAAATCAAGGTCCTCCATTCTCAGAGGAGGACCTTGATCTGATCGACTTTAAAACCACATCTGCAAAACTGTGTCTGTTAACGACAATAAAATGTCTCCTGTGACATCGTTTGTCTTTTTCCTCTGCCATATAATCAGAAACGTTGGTTTAACTGTGAGTAATATACATTTAATTTCAGATTTAGCTACATAAATACGAAATGTGCCTCCCCATGACCGGTCCCTGTGCTCCTCTGAGTCCCAGCAGGAGGCCCGTCCCTGTGCTCCTCAGAGTCCCAGCAGGAGGCCCGTCCCTGTGCTCCTCAGAGTCCCAGCAGGAGGCCCGTCCCTGTGCTCCTCAGAGTCCCAGCAGGAGGCCCGTCCCTGTGCTCCTCAGAGTCCCAGCAGAAGGTCAGTCCCTGTGCTCCTCAGAGTCCCAGCAGAAGGTCAGTCCCTGTGCTCCTCAGAGTCCCAGCAGAAGGTCAGTCCCTGTGCTCCTCAGAGTCCCAGCAGGAGGCCAGTCCCTGTGCTCCTCAGAGTCCCAGCAGGAGGCCAGTCCCTGTGCTCCTCAGAGTCCCAGCAGGAGGCCAGTCCCTGTGCTCCTCAGAGTCCCAGCAGGAGGCCCGTCCCTGTGCTCCTCAGAGTCCCAGCAGAAGGTCAGTCCCTGTGCTCCTCAGAGTCCCAGCAGAAGGTCAGTCCCTGTGCTCCTCAGAGGGCCAGTTGGTGCATATGGCTGTAACATGCCATAGAGTGTACTGTATTTCCAAACAGTAGCTCTTCAACTTTAGGACAATATTTTGGTTTCCCAGTTGCTCGTTTACAACATGCTCTAAACTGTGAAGTGTTATGTTCAAATTTCAGTCTTTAGTGTTTGCAGATAATGATCTAGGTGCAAGTGGCTCTCCACTGCCTGCATCCCCGACACAGACACTCTGAGGTTAATGATCATGTTCCTGCAGCCAGAGAACCACAGCTTTTACTCCAGATGACCCCAATTATTCTAAAGGCCATGAATGAACCGAGGCCACAGTCCGAGTCTGTGGTGTTTGTTTTACATCCCACAGTGAAGATCCCATCACAAACTTCTGTTGTTCTGTTTAAACCTCATGATAAATCACAGCATCCACTTCTAACTCACGTACAGGTCTGTGGTGAAGCAGGACGAGGAGTTAAGGGGCTTAAGGATGGATGATATGTTTTGTTTATTAAATCTCAAGCCAAATCTCTTAAATTTAAATGAAATCGAAACCTCTATATTTCTCCTCTGTGTGTGTCTTTGGTCCTGACAACCGTTTCTGAAGCTGGGCATACACTGTACGATATTTGCTCCTTTTTGAGACAATATCTCACTCTTGCGAGAATTTCTTGGATCGGGCCGAGTTAAAGCTAACTCGTGCTTCTCACATTGTGTAGAATATACAGGGAAACGAGCGGCCCTCGTGAGGGTGTCGTGGTGTTAAATGCTACGAGCATCTACGAACGATTACCCTCTACCTCTTGAATATCGTTATATAGTGTCCATAGTGCCGCGCACACGACAGTAGCTCAGTCACGGGGGTGAAAAAACAAGGCGACCCAAATGCAAAAACTGCAAGATGATGGATATAATAAAAGTAATACAAATCCAAAACCAGCAAAAACCAAAGGGAACAAGGACAGAACTAAAACAGACGAGGGATGACAAGGATGGAACAGGAAGTGAAGGAACACACAGGGCTAAATACAAGACTAACACACACAGGTGATACAGGGGAGGGCAGGGCAGGTCGTCAAACAGGAAGTACAACCAAAGAAGACACAGGGATTTAACAAACTACAAAATAAAACAGAAAATAAATCTAAACCATGACAAGTAGAGCATAGGCTTTTGAGCCTGAAGGTCGTGGCCACAAGACCTTCTCCACCAACTCCCACTGAGGTCTGCTGTTCCTTGGGAAAGACACTTAACCCCACTTAGCCTGAAGCCCCCGCTGAAAGATCAAGGCTCTGTTGTCGCTGCAGCCGTCCTCCTGTGGACTCACCACCTGCAGGAGGATCAGTGAGGGGCTGGTGTTCTGTGACTAGGGTGGAATCTCTGACTTCCACCCCCCCGACCCAGAAATGAATTAAGGGGTAGAAAAAGGATGGATGGATGGATAGTGCCGCGCACTGATACAAGCACACAGGCCCGGCTAGAGAGCTGAGGTATACAGAGTTGTATTGAGTTCCATCCACGGCTCGAGTGAACGGCCACAGTTTATGCCGCCGTAAACAACTGCCCTTGAAGGTAACACAGTGTGTCATCAATGACAACTAACAAACAGTACCACCAATATGACACCTCTGGGACTGTGCCTGCACAAACACTGAGGGGTGCAGCATGCAGCGGTTCATACATGGAACCAAGTGGAACTCTGGCAGACTCCCCCGAGCCCTCATGTGTCCTCCCTGCACTACCACAACTGAAATAAGAGGGAGAAAAGTTGGGGGGAGATTGCGGCTTAATTTAAGTTACCGGGGAAGTTAAACAGCTGTAGTTGTTTATGTGGTTGTTGTTGCATCCCCGGTTGAATGAGCTAATGTCAAATTGTGTCGCTAGGCAACACCCAGTGTTATAAGTCCGATGAGCGATTTTGGACAGATAATGTCCAAAATTGAAGATCAAAGATCTCCATAAGATAATCGAGTCGTATAGTGTGAGAACATAAATCGTGAGCTAAGAACTTTTGCTTCCTGTGATTTTGTCGAGCAGTTTGAGCTGAAGCCAACGATTGAAAACATTACAGAGTGTATGCCCAGTTTAAGTTGTCTAATAATAGTAAATCCTCTTCTCACCTGTTGATGAGAGAAGTGACAGAAACATACAGTATATACAGTGGGGCAAAAAAGTATTTAGTCAGCCACCAAAATAAGGACAGAGGTCTGTAATTTTCATCATAGGTACACTTCAACTGTGAGAGACAGAATGTGAAAAAAAATCCCGGAATTCACTTTGTAAGATTTATAAAGAATTTATTTGTAAATTATGGTGGAAAATAAGTATTTGGTCAATAACAGAAATTCAACTCAATGGAAGGAGGTTTTGGCTCAAAATCTCACGATACATGGCCCCATTCATTCTTTCCTTAACACAGATCAGTCGTCCTGTCCCCTTAGCAGAAAAACAGCCCCAAAGCATGACGTTTCCACCCCCATGCTTCACAGTAGGTATGGTATTCTTGGGATGCAACTCAGTATTCTTCTTCCTCCAAACACGACGAGTTGAGTTTATACCAAACAGTTCTACTTTGGTTTCATCTGACCACATGACATTCTCCCGATCCTCTGCTGTATCATCCATGTGCTCTCTGGCAAACTTCAGACGGGCCTGGACATGCACTGGCTTCAGCAGGGGGACACGTCTGGCACTGCAGGATCTGATTCCCTGTCGTCGTAGTGTGTTACTGATGGTAACCTTTGTTACTTTGGTCCCAGCTCTCTGCAGGTCATTCACCAGGTCCCCCCGTGTGGTTCTGGGATATTTGATCACCGTTCTCATGATCATTTTGACCCCACAGCATGAGATCTTGCGTGGAGCCCCAGATCGAGGGAGATTATCAGTGGTTGAAATATTGTTGTGGGCTACATTTGGGCTATCTTTTAATTTAATTAACTTTAATGGAGGTGGAGGACAGAAGAGCTTCTTAAAGAAGAAGTTACAGGTCTGTGAGAGCCAGAGATCTTCCTTGTTTGAAGTGATCAAATACTTATTTTCCACCATAATTTACAAATAAATTCTTTAAAAATCCTAATATGTGAATTCCTGGATTTTTTTTTGTAGTGTACCTATGATGAATATTACAGATGATGAATATTACCTCTGTCATTATTTTAACTGGGAGAACTTGCATCGGTGGCTGACTAAATACTTTTTTGCCCCACTGTATATGTTCTGACGCATGTGTTTTGACCCCGGTACAAGCGGCAGCAATGCAGCCATACAAGATAAGATAAGATATTCCTTTATTCGTCTCACAGTGGGGAAATGTCAGTGTCATCGTTGCACATTACAGCAGAGAAAGAAGGAAATAAGAGCACTCAGATTGCACACATCAAACATTATATTATATACTGTATACATATATTATTTAAGAATATAGACCATATAATGCACATGGAGATGTTATAGAAATATTTTAGTAAAGCAATCTGAATTAACACCAAATAGTTATGAGTGTAAGTTACACGACTCCTCACAGCAGCAGTAGAATGATCCATTGATTTGAAAGTAATTTCAAAACGTTCTACCGGTCATTATTTTCTATAACTGACCTCTCAAAACAATAATGGCCGCTGCCCTTTGGCAACGCACTCTCTGCTTGTCTTTCAGATGCGTGGATAACTCTGCAAGTAGTTCCGGCCACTCCGGAGCTAGCCACGCTCAATAAACGCAAATACCAATCAATCAACACACTTAAATGTTAATCGGAGAATACATTATACATACATTCTTCACACAAGTGCACAGAGGTTTTCAGAGATTCCCTTTACGTTTTCATGACAAAAACACTGATGTAATGCGGGAAAAGGCAATCCCGAAAGACCCGGAAGTAGATACCGGCACATTTTAGGAACATTTGCAGAGTTTATGTTTGGGTCACTCACTGCTGATGTTCACAATTCACGTCAGGGTCCGCTTCGCTGTCGGTACTTATTTTCCGATAATGACCTGCGTAATATACGTTATCCCTTACATAGTCAACTGGATTCAAATACAGGCCATAATGCTCTGTTGGCAGCAGGTCAGTGATAGATGGAGACGTGCTGCATCATGTCTTTGACCTCATCTGGGTCATAGAACAATATGTTCAGTTCAAATCAGATTATTACAAGTATCAGTGTAATATCAGTGTAAGCTTAAAGAGAAGCCTTGAGCGACACATATCAATGTTTACTTCATTTATAATATCTAGACTAGATACAGTATGTCTTTGTTTTCTCTGGTCTATTTAATGTCCGTCATTTCCTCATTCGTGGCAGACGGTTTCAGACGGCTGCCCGGTGGTATCGGTATCGGTTCTGTTATTTATTGTATATGTGCACACTTACTAATGAATAAACTCACACTTTGATGGTTTTACAGCTCTTGGTTGTTTACATTATTTTTGCTCTTGGTCTGAACAGAATTTCCACAACAGAGACACACAGCCTCCCCATGTTTAGTTCTGACTCTGGGCACTAACAGGAGTCCAGTCCCTGTGCTCCTCAGAGTCCCAGCAGGAGTCCAGTCCCTGTGCTCCTCAGAGTCCGGGCTGGTTCATATGGGACTAACATGTCACTAATATATTTTGGTGCGAGGCCATGGAGAGACTTGTAACAAGCAGAGCTGTTTTAAAGTCTATTCTCTGAGCCACAGGAAGCCAGTGCAGAGACCTGAGGACCGGACTAATGTGGTCGTACTTCCTGGTTCTTGTCAGAACTAATGTGTCTCTCTCTCTCCTCTTCCTCTCTCCTCTCTCTCTCCTCTCTTCCTCTCTCCTCTCCTCTCTCCTCTCTCTCTCCCCTTCCTCTCTCTCTCTCTCCTCCTTCCTCTCTCCTCTCTCTCTCCTCTTCCTCTCTCCTCTCTCTCTCCTCCTTCCTCTCTCCTCTCTCTCTCTCTTTCCTCTCTCCTCTCTCTCTCCCCTTTCTCTCTCCTCTCTCTCTCTTCCTCCTTCTCTCTCTCCTCCTCTCTCCTCCTCTCTCTCTCCTCCTTCCTCTCTCTCTCTCTCTCTCTCTACTCTTTCCTCTCTCCTCTCTCTCTCCTCTTTCCTCTCTCCTCTCTCTCTCCTCTTTCCTCTCTCCCTCTCTCTCTCCCTCTTCCTCTCTCCTCTCTCTCTCCCCTTCCTCTCCTCCTCTCTCTCTCCTCCTTCCTCTCTCCTCTCTCTCTCTCTTTCTCTCTCCTCTCTCTCTCCTCCTTCCTCTCTCCTCTCTCTCTCCTCTTTCCTCTCTCTCTCTCTCTCCCCCTTTCTCTCTCCTCTCTCTCTCTCCTCCTTCCTCTCTCCTCTCTCTCTCCTCCTTCCTCTCTCCTCTCTCCTCTCCTCTTTCTCTCTCCTCTCTCTCTCCCCCTTCCTCTCTCCTCTCTCTCTCCTCCTTCCTCTCTCCTCTCTCTCTCCTCTTTCCTCTCTCCTCTCTCTCTCCTCCTTCCTCTCTCCTCTCTCTCTCCTCTTTCCTCTCTCCTCTCTCTCTCCCCCTTTCTCTCTCCTCTCTCTCTCTCCTCCTTCCTCTCTCCTCTCTCTCTCCTCCTTCCTCTCTCCTCTCTCTCTCCTCCTTCCTCTCTCCTCTCTCTCTCCTCTTTCCTCTCTCCTCTCTCTCTCCTCTTTCCTCTCTCCTCTCTCTCTCCTCTTTCCTCTCTCCTCTCTCTCTCCCCCTTCCTCTCTCCTCTCTCTCTCCCCCTTCCTCTCTCCTCTCTCTCTCCCCCTTCCTCTCTCCTCTGTCTCTCCTCCTTCCTCTCTCCTCTCTCTCTCCTCCTTCTTCTCTCCTCTCTCTCTCCTCCTTCCTCTCTCCTTTCTCTCTCCTCCTTCCTCTCCTCTCTCTCTCCTCCTTTCTCTCTCCTCTTTCCTCTCCTCTCTCTATCCCCCTTCCTCTCTCCTTTCTCTCTCCTCTTTCCTCTCTCCTCTCTCTCTCCCCCCTACCTCTCTCCTCTCTCTCTCCTCCTTCCTCTCTCCTTTCTCTCTCCTCTTTCCGCTCTCCTCTCTCTCCCCTCCTTCCTCTCTCCTCTCTCTCTCCCCCTTCCTCTCTCCTTTCTCTCCCCTCTTTCCTCTCTCCTCTCTCTCTCCTCTTTCCTCTCTCTCTCCCCCTTCTCTCCTCCTCCTCCTTTTATCCACAGGTCGAAAACATACAAAAAATGTAATCCAATATTGTCCAAGTCGTGTTTTTTCAGACTATTACAGTGAATTTGGAGGATCAGCGATGTCATGTTTCTTTTGAACAATATTTTTTATTGCATTTTTAAACATAATCCCTACAATCACACAGACATAGAGAAAAAACAAAATAAGAAATAAAACAAAACCAGGCAGTCCCTAAGAATAGTAAAGGATGCAGAAACAGAAAAGGGTTATGAATATGTATATACACACACGTGTTTTGTATATGTATGTATATACACACACACACACCCACCCACCAATGAAAGTAGAAAAAGAATAAAAAAAAAAAAAAAAAAAAAAAGAATAATAATGAAATACACATGCATTCATATACAAGAAAATAAAATAAAATAAAAAAAAAAAAATAAAAAACATAAATAAAAATAAAAAACAAAACAAAAATAAAAGTATACATACATACATAGACGTACACACATTCACACAAAAAAAAGAAATGAAAACAGCAAAAAATGATAAAACATGTTCAACACACCATACCTAACAGGTACAAACTTACACCCTCTCATGCGCACCCACACACACACACTCTCTCACACACACACACACACACACACACACGGACGAGAGTGCCCTTGCAAATATAGTATAGCATTATTACATGGGCATCTGTAGATGTATGCACATGTCTCTGTGCTTATATCTCTATCCCACATCCACATGAGCCATCATACCAACATGTACATTTCAATTATGCTTTTCACGGTCGAAAACTACTTTCAGTTCATAGCTCCTTGGAGGGTCTCGCTCGGAGTTGAAAGTCCAAACGAACCGTCCTATGACTTTATGTAATTCAAAAGCGGATTCCAGCAGAGCTCCCATTTGTGTATGCTCCCTGCAGATTTAAATCTATGTTTTTCCATGTGAATGATGTTCACCAACTCATTCAGCCAGTTTCTGAAGGATGGTGCTCCTGGACTTTTCCACTCTGTAAGAATGAGTCTTTTTGCTACGATTGTTCCCAGTTGTAGCGCACTCCGTAGGTGTTTGTGGAGCTTGTCTACCTCTGAGGAATGTCCGAAGATGGCCATGTCTCTGTCCACTAGTAGATCTATGCTGTAGATTCCAGAAAAAAAGTAAAAGATACCAAAACTGTAGTATTACAGGACACTCCCAAAAAGAGTGGAGAAGTGACCCTTCAGCTATGTTACACTTGTCACACATAGTAGACACATCAGGGTAAAATTTATGCAGAGTAGCCTTGCAGTAGTAGAAACGATGAATCACTTTATATTGAATTAATCTGAGTCTGCTGTTAATTGAGCATTCATGGATTAGAGAGAGAGATTTTTCCCATTGTTGTTTTGCTATTGTAGAATTCAGTTCTCTCTCCCACGCTTTTTGAATGCCCTCTGTTGATGTAGTTGGTATAAGACAGTTGGAAAATTTTGAGATTAATTTCTTGCTTGTAGGCGGTAGATTCAAAGTTTCTAGCACTGGAAAGCTTACCTGCAGTGATTCAGTAGATGGCAGGTATTCCCTTATGAAATGTCTTAACTGCATATACTGGAAGAAACTAGATTGGGGTAAGTTATACTTTGCTCTCAAATCATTAAAGGAAACAAGTTTGCCCTCCCAGTGGATATCCTGTATACACTTAATTCCCTTGGAGTACCATTTGGAAAAGAAGTTGTTGATGTCATGTTTCTGTCATGGTTTTCTCCTAAATTGAGTGTTTGATCCATGACTTTTAAGAGAATCATCAAAAGCCCAAAAATAAACTCCATCATTTCACCCACAGACTGCGAGCCTCAAAGATCACAGCGGTGGAACTAACATGCATTCATTAATCAGAGCCACTCACACCGCTCCTGGGCATTTTTCTATTTGCATAAGCGAAATATACAGCGTTAATAAGCCACAACACTCTTTAAAACTTGAAATGTATTCATTCTGCACAGTGTCACGGGAGAAAGGCGGCGTCTCAGCGGGGGTCAGTGGTTGATTACATGATTACAGTATATATATAAGGTTGTTTTTAGTGTAGGGTAAGTGTCAGAGTTCCCCGAAGAGTCCAAAAGGTCTATTTAGTTTACACAGACTCTGCTCCAACATGTGGTTTTGTATAAAAAGAACAGAAGCCAAATACATATCCACAGAAGAACAGCTAAGTTTAATTAAAAACTAAAACTCCAGAGAAAATAAGAAATTAAATCAGGTAAATTCTGATTCAAGTAGCTCAAGCACGGAAACAGGATGTCGGCCCGAGGAAACAAAAACTAAATTACTACAAGTTAAAGATTGAAGAGTGGGGTTTTCAGAGAAGAAATGTGGATGATTGTGGAGAGTCAGGTGAGGAGGCAGACACACAGGGGGGAGAGAGAGAGAGAGAGACCAGGGAGAGGGAGAACATGAGGCAGAGACCAGAGTGAGAGACCAGAGAGACGGACTAGAGGGACCAGAAAGAGAGAGACCAGGGAGACCAAAGAGAGACAGGGAGAGGGACCAGAGATACAGACTAAAGAGACTGACCAGAGAGACCAGAGACAGAGAGACCAGGGAGAAAGAGGCCAGAGAGAGAGAGAGACTAGTGTGTGTGTGCGTGTGTGTGTGTGTGTGTGCGTGTGTGTGCGTGTGTGTGTATGCAACATGGACAAATATAAGGACATTCATTCCCAGTTTTGCTTCGTCAGCTGCACGAACAAAGCACAGCTCCCAAATCCAGGTCTGAAATGTAAATGTTCTCTCAGCGTCAGACCGAGGGGGAGGCTGCCAGGTATGTGCCTCCTCCATCTCCTCTGAGAGCATCCTTTACACTCGCCCTCAGCTGTACTTTATCCTCCTCATCACAAAGCTCTGGCAGCGGCGGAGAGAAGACAAGATGGCTGCCCTGCCTCAGACAGATAAGCCTCACAGACCTCATGACTCATTCAAATATGTCTCGGCTGCAGATGCTAAGAGTTGTCAGTCCTCTAAGCCGCTACAGGGCCTCAGTAAGACCGAGAGATGGGTTTTGGAGCAGGAGGAGGCGAGGAGAGGAGGCTAATCCACAGGTATCAGGTCCAGTATTAGCTGAGAGAGGATGCAGATTAGAGGAATGAACATGTCAGAGGTTGGTTTGAGGAAGAGGAGGAGGTTTATTCTGTCCGGTCCTCCAGCTTTTCTGAGCTTATTAGCGGTAGACTAACTCCACTGGCTGTGGGCTAAAATGGCATGTGCAAATAATTGGCATTCACCTTCTTCTCTGCCGAATTTTTTTTGAAGGGACTGTTAAAAAACTAGGTGCGGTCTCTCCCTGGTCTCTCTTTGATCTCTCTCTAGTCTCTCTCTCTCTTATATCTCTCTATACTGTCTCTGTCTGGTCTCTCTTTGGTCTCTCTCTAGTCTCTCTCTCTTATATCTCTCTATACTGTCTCTGTCTGGTCTCTCTCTGGTCTCTCTTTGGTCTCTCTCTAGTCTCTCTCTCTTATATCTCTCTACTGTCTCTGTCTGGTCTCTCTCTGGTCTCTCTCTCTCTTTAAGTAAGTATGTAAGCAATCCTCATTTAAATACCGCCTTTCACAGACCAGAGTCATGAAGCGGTTTACAGTTGTGTGCATTTGTCTCTCACTCCACACAGAGATGGGAGCGGGGTCGCCAGTACAGGAGGCGCATGCCAGACCTATTGTACATGATGTTAGTGGTAGGGGAAACCGGAGTACCCAAAGGAAACCTACGCAGACACAGGGAGAACATGCAAACGCCACTCAGAAAGGTCCTGTTCCAACCAGGATTTGAACCCAGTACCTTCTTGCTGAGAAGCGAGGGTGTTATCCACTTGCACAGCGGCACGCTATACTTTCTCTCTCTGGTCTCTCCTGGTCTCTCCTGGTCTCTCTCTGGTCTCTCCTGGTCTCTCCTGGTCTCTCTCTGGTCTCTCTCTGGTGTCTCCTGGTCTCTCTCTGGTCTCTCCTGGTCTCTCTCTGGTCTCTTCTGTTTGGTCTTCTCTCCCTGGTTTCTCTTTGGTCTTTTTCTTTAGTCTTTCTAGTCTCTCTCTGGTCTCCCTCCATGGTCTCTCTGATCTCTCTCTCTCTCTCTCGTTTCTCTCTCTGGTCTCATTTCCTGTGTTCCAACTCCTTCAATCCATCATAACATAAACTTGTGTGTAGAACATTCCCGATATTCTCCTCTCTATGTTAAAGTTACTTCTGACGACACAAGTGGACTGTGTGATGTTTGTTTGATGTTTCCATTCAAAGCGACACGTATGGGTTTCATGCTCGTCTCTCGTTTATCATTTTTGACGGAGCTTTGAACTGGCCCCAAACTGTGACAGATGTACGAGGCATCCCCAGAACATCAGAGCGTAGAAGCAGACATGTGACCTCTCAGCAGGGGGCGCTGTAGTGGACTTTAGCGTGAGGTGGGGGTGCGTCCTTTGAGGCTTTGAAGTCCCGCACTGGGCCTGGACTCATAATTGGAGCATGTTTGTTAATGGAGTGTATTTCCCGAGCGGCTATCGTCAGAACAGGAGCGGGAGGAGAGCGTTGGAATGAAAAACTGGAAATATTAGTATGTGAAAGGCCGATAACGAGGGTCGAAGGCATTAGACCCTCTGTTAGATCTGTTTGATCTTTAAAACAACATAATCATCTGATCTGCAGAAGATCAAGGCTACTTTCTACTTCATCAGTTTCTTCAGTTCTTCCAGCGAGTGTACTAATGGTCCCAATGTAAATATGGAACATTCTACAGCCTCAGTCCTGGATCTACAGCCTCAGACCTGGATCTACAGCCCTAGTACTGGGTCTACAGCCTCAGTCCTGGATCTACAGCCTCAGACCTGGATCTACAGCCTCAGTCCTGGATCTAGTACCTCAGTCCTGGTTCTACAGTCATTTCAGTCATCTCGCTCCCTATGGACCAATAGCTCCAGTCGTGTGTGTTGTTATTGCATTTCCAGTGTTTGAACTGTTTAATTCTGAATCCACAACTTTCTACAGACCTCCTTTGCTGCTGTTGTGGGTTGAGGCGAGACACAAATACATTGAATTTTTGGGGATTTTGGTTTGATGATGGAAACTGGAGTCTTGCTTTTCTATAAAAACTCTCTCACTGTAGAACCACAGGCTAAAGCTGCCATTTTTGATTGAAAGAGAGATTTTTGACCAAGTTCTGTTCTCATCATGTCTGTTGTTGATGCTGCTGCTTTTGGACGTGTGTTGGACCGTGTTGCGTTGGTCTCTTTGAGCAGAGTCTCCCGTTGAGTCTCTCTGGTTGTGTGTTTCTCTGGTTGTGTCTTTCTCTCTGGTTGTGTGTTTCTCTCTCTGTCCCTCTGCATTTGCCTCCAGCCTCAGAGACCATAATGCTCCTCAAACAGAAGCCTAAAACGTTCCTTTGATCCTCAGAGACGGACAGTGCTAATGTTGTTTTGCTTCTTCTTTTTTTTAAACTGGGGTTTGTTTCTGAAACTGTATCGAGTTTATTGTTATGTGGAAAGTTCAGCAGCAACATTATCATCTGCTCTCTAAAGACACAAAGTTACCTTGTTAGAAACCACAAAACTTTAGAATACTGAGAGTGATTCAGGGATCAGCAAGAGACCAAAGAGAGATGCCAGAGAGGGACACCAAAGAGAGACCAGACAGAGACCAGAGAGAGACCAAAGAAAGAGAGATCAGAATGAACCCAGAGAGACCAGAGAGATACATGAGAGAGATCCATATGCTTTTATGGTATGTATGCTTGTGCTATTTTAAACCCACCTGTACGTGGAGTGTTCTTCCCTGCCAGAGAACAGATACAAATTAGCCTCAGAATAACTCCGGTACAATGCATCACATTTACTGTATGTTCTAATTGTACATGGTCCATTTTTAAATAAATAGAATAAAATAAATCAGACAGAGACCAGAGCGAGACAAGAGAGAGACCAGAGAGAGACCAGAAAGAGACCAGAGAGAGACCAGAGAGAGACCAGAGAGAGACCAGAGAGAGAGAGATCATAAAGAGACAAGAGAGATGCCAGACAGAGACAAGAGAGAGAGACCAGAGAGAGACCAGAGAGAGAGAGAGAGATCAGAGAGAGACCAGAGAGTTAGTTAGTCAGATACTTTATTGATCCCTGTAGGAGAAATTTGGGTGTCCAGCAGCAGCAAAAACACATCCATCCACACAAACAAAATAAATGAATTGATCATTCTAAAAAGCTAACAATAGTAACACTAATAAGAAACAGCCCTTCAGTTCACAGCAGAGGTTAAGGAGCCGCTTTGTTCGGACCATGAATCTCTCTGCTCTGGTCTGGACCAGTGTAAAACCATGAACACTGTACTGCAGCAACATCTCAGGTAGAAAAAAACCAAGAACACTACTACTACTACTACTACTTAGGACTTAGGAGAGAGAGTCCAGAGGGAGACCAGGGAGAGACCAGAGAGAGAGATCAGAGAGGACCCGGAGACACCAGAGAGAGGGACATAGGTACCATAGTGAGAGAGAGACTAGAGATACCAGAGAGAGACCAAAGGGAGATACCCCAAAAAGCTAACCCAAAGCAGTAACTGATACTAGAAATACATGTGAAAACTAGTGATAAAAGCCAAGAACCGGAGACATGGTTTTCTTCACATTGTTCGTCTCTTGGTGTTTGAACGTGAGCTTTAAAGGAGCTTTTCGCACCGTTTCCATGTGTCTCCAGTGTCTGCAATCAATTGTCTCGTATGTTTTCTGGCACAGGTCCCACAGCAGAGAATCCCTTCCAAACAGTGGATCCTGCAGCCTCCTCCAGACCGCAGAGATGAAAGTGAAGACCCATGTGACTCACGCAGACACTGGGTCGGATACAGTATGTGTAGATATAGACTCTAAAACTGCATACTGCCCCTTTAAGTCAAAGCTTTAAGTGAAATAGTTCTGGGCTTGATATTGTACATAATTATATCCTGGACAGACTATATTTTTTGCATCTATGTTTACACACTTCTGCCTTGGTTCTATCTATGCCAACATGTAAAATTCTCCCGTGTGAGATCAATAAAGTCTATCTTATCTTATCTTATGTTTTACTAAGCATTAAGGGGAATGCTTCAATCTTCAAAAAGTCTTCACAACTTTATCTTCCAATCAGACTGTTTTGCTCATCGACCAAATCTATCCAGCCATCTTCCATCCATCTTCTTCCCCTTAATCCATTTCTGGGTCGGGGGGTCGGCAGTCAGAGCTGCACCCAATTCACTGAGCACCACCCCTCACTGATCGACCAAATCCACAAAGTAAAATCCAATTCAAAGAACATTTCCAACCCAGAGATGTACCATTTTGTGGAATCATCAAACAGAGATGTACAATACAATACAATACAATACAATACAATTTATTCTTGTATAGCCCTAAATCACAACAGTATCATCTCAGAGGACTCAGAGAACAAAACCATTGAAATCACCAACACAGATCAGAGAACCAACAATTAAAACACATAGAGAATATAGAACACATTGTCATGGTTTAAGTTTATTTCCTGTTTTATTTTGAAATGTGTTATTCCTGTGTCTTCTTTGGTTGTACTTCCTGTTGTCTGATTACCTGCCCTGCCCTCATCTGTCTCACCTGTGTCTCGTTAGTCTTGTATTTAGCCCTGTGTGTTCCTTCACTCCCGGTCCCGTCATTGTCATTCGTAGTCTGTTTTGGTTCTGTCCATTCCCTGTGTTTTTGGTAGGTTTTGATTTGTATTACTTTCATTAAATCCATCATTTTGCAGTTTTTGCCTTTTGGGCCTCATTTGTTTTTCACCCACGTGACACACATGTTGATAAATGTCATACATGTTGTAGAATGTTAAAGTGTCCTGGATCACCACAGTCCTTCTAGTTGAACACTAACTTTCCAACAGACCCTCCTGCATCGGCAAGGGAAAAACTCAAGAAAAGAAAAACCCAGTGGGAAAAAGTGAGAAACCTCGGGGAGAGCCACATATTGAGAGAGGGATTCGCTCCACACGGACAGACGGGCTATTGATCCAGGACCTAAGCTACGGAACGAGGCCCACGCAGCGGCTGCAGATGT